ACCGAATTTGTCATCTCCCCCAAACTCTTCTCACACTCCATACATCACAATGAAAATTCTGCAGTTGTATCAGAGACTCTCATTCTCCAACATAATTCTTTCTCCAGACTAATTCTCCATTTTATATGAAATGCAAAAGGTCAGGAATAGCAGGGACAATCCTAAACACAAACAGATTGCAAGTCCTTATACATTTGGGTATCCAGATTTATTATAAAGTTTGGTAGGCAAGATGCTGAGGCACTAACCAGCCAATGGAGAAGAGGGGCCTCCGAGAGCAGACCCACAGCTGGGCTGGTGGGCAGCCTGGCCCAGGCCGGTGGGCGGGGAGTCTCTTCACCGCCGATGGGAGAGCACAGCTCCGCACTCAGCAGGATGCGGAAAACTGTCCGTCGAGTGCAAAGGGTAAAGCCACACAGCAGCAACACCAGAAGTAAGACAAGTGCACAGGACATACTGGACACACCAAAATTTAAAACTTCTGCTTGGATAAAAATATCCCATGAAGATGCTAAAAAGTCAAACTCTTGACCTGAGAACATATTTGCAAACCACAGTCCCAACTAAGGACTTCTGTCCAGCGAGCACAGAGAACTCCCAAAACTCAGCAAAAATAAAACCACTCCAATCAGAAAATGGGCACGTGACGTGTGCAGGCACTTCACTGACAAGGATACAGGGTGAGAAGACGCTGACCAGCTTCACCTTGGGGGAGACACAAGTGACGACCACAGCGAGCTCGCCCGCAGCCTCAGCCAGCTGGCTGTAGTGAGGCGAGGGGTCCCCCACAGTGCCGGTGGTGCAGCCACTGGGAAAACAGTTTGGCAGTTTCTTTTAAAAAACTAAACCACGAGACTGAGCAGCTGTGCTTTGGGGCACTTATCCCAGAGAAATGAAAATCTAAGTTCACACAAAAACCTGTACGTGGATTTCACAGCAACTCAAGTCATCAGAGCCTCCAACTGGAGACGGCCGCCTCTCCTCTCGTTGGGAACACCATGGGGAATTCGCACAGCTCAGGCGTCCTGAGAGCGCTGGCTCACCGCCAACAGCCACATCTGCTGGGTGCAGTCAAAGGACCCCCAAAAGGCCGGAACCAGGGTGGGGCTGGGGAAGGGCGGCCCCACAGGACAGCATGGCGCAGCACCCCGTGGCTGTGACCAGGCTGCACAGACGTAAGCGTGCACATCAGCCCGTGTGCAGCTGGTGACCTGCAGGTCAGTGTCTCCTGTAGGTCAGTGTCTCAGGTGAGGCTCTGAGGCCCAGTTATGTGCCTTTGGGGGACTTGAAAGTGAGGAGGGGTCCCTCTGAACTGTTTCTTACAATTGTATGTGCATCTACAACGATCTCAAAAAAGAATTTAAAAATAAAACGAATGAATGAGTGAAAAAGCAAGCCACAGAGTAGGAAAATGATATTGGCAATAAATAACCAACAACAGATATAAAAAGAATTACTAAAAGGCTGGTGTGGTTCACTGGACTGAGTGCCGGCCTGTGAACCAAAGGGTCGCCGATGTGATTCCCAGTCAGGGCACAGGCCTGGGTTGCGGGCCAGGTCCCCAGTAGGAACCATGTGAGAGGCAACCACACGTCGATGTTTCCCTCCTTCTCCTTCCCTTCCCCTCTGTCTAAAACATAAATAATAAAATCTCAAAAAAAAGCCCCGTCGTCTCGCACACCAAAAGGCTGCGGGTTTGATCCCTGGCTGGGGTGCGCACAGGAGGCAACCAGCTGATGTTTCTCTTTCACACTGACGATTCTCTCTCCCTCCCCTCTCTAAAGTCACTAAACATATCAAGTGAGAATAAAAAAACAACAAAAAAAAGCCCTGTACCAAACAGGAAAATAGGCTAAAGGCTTCAACAGCCATTTCACATCAGTAAACACACAGGAAGGTGCCCATTAGTCATCAGGGAAACACACACACACACACACACACACACACACACGAAACCCAACACCCACCAGGACACTCCCCACCCCACCCCCGCCCCACACAGAGACCAGGTCAGGGGAGTGGGATCACATGATCGACGGACACACAGCCCACTCCAGGCACTCCAGGCCCCTGAGAGAAACACGCTGGGTTCCCACACTGAACCTGTTCTGGGCCATTGCTGTAACGCACATTCCCAGGACAGCTGGCCAACTGGGACCCGGTCTGGGAACTGAAGTGCCAGCTTTGGTTCAGACTGCAGACGTCCAGCTCCCTGAGGCTCCCAGCTGCACTGGGTCACGGCAGCAGGAGCACACACCCAAAGGCGGAGGGCAGGAGTGGCCTCCCAAGCACCTGGCCTCACTGGCCACGGGGAGCCACCTGCATCATTCCAGCAGAAGAATGGGGATTGGCTTTCACATACCCTCACCTGGCTCTGCGTCAGAATGCACCCCCAGACACCAGCCCTGGGAGTCTGGAGAGATCATTAACCCTGGGTAGGGCCCAGCCCGGGGCAAGCGAGGGTCCTTGAGGAGGCTGGCGACATTGTGCCAGAGGACCCAGCCAGCGCACTCAGGCAAGAAATGAAAAGCCGGCAGATTGGAGAGAAGATGCAGAACTCTTTAGATGCAGAAGGTACATAGGAAACATGTGGAAAGACCTCAGGAATCTAGAAGAGGGCTACAAAAATAAATACCAAGGTTGTAGGACAAAAGGATGGCGTATTAAAATCAACTGTATGCCTCTGTACTTGGAAAATGCAAAATGTTAAGTGTCATTTATAAAATCAATTTCACAAAGCCTGAAATACCTGGCCACCGCTTCCCCTTGAGTACTCCTCACAACAACAAGGCAGAAATGGTGACACCTCACCTCAGGGGCTGCATCACGACACAGTGCAGCAGCGTCTCCATCTCTCCTGCAGTGGCTGCAAGACTGAGCAGTCCACGCCCTCCCACCCGTGAGGCAGGTGCCTCCGGCCGACAGCCACGTGAGGGAGCCACTCTGTAGGCAGTTCCCCAGCTGGCACTGCAGTGGCCATGCTGGCTGAGGACCCTAACTGCAACCGCAGGAGATCTGGAGCCAGAAGCACCCAGTTAAGCCATTTTTTAATTCCTCACCCACAGCAACTGTGAGATAACAAATGCTTACTGTTTAAGCCATTCTATTTCATAGTTATTTACTACATGGCAACAGACAATCGGTACAGAGACCTAAATAAAGGAAGATAGATATAGATACATAAATATCATAAATATTGTTAAGTCGATTCTCCCCATTAATACAATCCCAATCACAATTCTAGTAAGCCTTTTTGTAGAAAGTCACAAGCTAATTCTAAATGTATAAAGAACTGCATAATACCCTGGCCGGCATAACTCAGTGGATTGAGCACAGGCCTGCGAACCAAAGGACCGCGGTTCGATTCCCAGTCGGGGCACGTGCTTGGGTTGCAGGCCAGTTCCCAGCAGGGGATGCACGAGAGGCAACCACACATTGATATTTCTCTCCTTCTCTCCTTCCCTTCCCTTCTAAAGATAAATAAATAAAATCTTTAAAAAAAACTGCATAATATCTTGAAGAGCCAAAACGACATGAAAAAGAGAAACCAAGTTAGAGAATTTACGGTACTTGATCTCAAGGCTTCAAAGCTACAACAATCAAATCTATGGGATACTGGCACAAAGTTGGTGAATAAAATAGAGAATCCAGAAACAGACCCACTCATGAGTATCCCCTGATTTTCAGGCAAAAGTGTTTGGTAACACTGGAGAAAGGACGGTCTTCAAAAAGTGGTGCTGGGATGACTGGATGTCCATATGGAAAACGATGACCCTCGGCTTCTACCTACACCACGCAGGAAAGCGAAAACCATCAAGGAAAAACCGCCAAGCCGGGCTTTATCAAAATGAAAAGCGTCCCCTCCTCAGGGCACTGGTTCAGAATGGCGAGGCCAGCCACAGGCGGTGACAACGCACTGGCAGCGGAAGGGTACAAAGAATGCTTAAAACTTGGTAAGACAAAACCAATTTTTTTAAGGGCAAAAGACTGGAACAGACACTACACGAAAGAAGATATACAAATGGCCAAGAAAGTAAGCACATGAACTAAAAGAACAAAGAAAGTAAGCTCGTGAAAAACTGCTCCACAGCATTCATCGGGAGGAAGCGCAAGTAAGGGCCACAGCCGTGGCTTCCACAGCGCGGAGACAGCAGCACCCGAACGGGCTGACGGCACCGAGAGACTGGAACAACTGGGAACGTGAAACGAATGTGCAGTCATTTTGGAAACCCGTTCGCCACCTTCTAATAAGGTTTAACCACACACTTCAATCCACCCTTTCTGTCTTCTCAGACCTAGAGAAATAACGCCCATGTCCCGCGAAGACTTGTGTGAGCGCCCAGAGCAGCGTTATTCCCAACAGCCAAAGGCGGGCCTGGGCGCAGGTGTGTGGCCGGGCTACACGGCCGTTCACCTACACAACGGAGCACCCCGCTCAGCGACAGGGACCCACCCACGCAGGAAGCCACTGCAGCGGGCTACGTGGCCGAGCTGGAAACCGACACACATCTCTCAGGGAAACCCCAAGCCGGCCAGGGGAGCCCCTGGGGCCCAAAGACAGAGACTGAGCCCAGTGCGGTGCCCCCCACCCCCACCCCAGTTAAGGGTCCAGGGAGAAACGGCAGGCAGCGCTTTGGGGAGGACGCACTCCCCCCTCTCTGCAGCCATGGAAATTAATAGCACGGTCCCCTCAGCCTCTGCTCCAGGAAAGCAAGGGGCCCACGCCCCCCCGGGCCTGAGGTGCCAGTGCCTCAGTCGGGCCTGAAGACCCTTCTGCCTGCCTCCTCTCTCTCTCCACTTGGTCTTCTTCCTCTTTTCCTCTCTCAGCTCAGTTCAGCCTCCTCTCAGGCCTCCTCTCTGCCCAGGGCCCGATCTCCTCTCTCCCCCGGGGCCCGGCCTTCTCTCTCCCGGGGGACCCAGTCTCCTTTCCGAGGCCCGATCTCCTGTCTCCCGGGGCTGGCCTCCTCTCCCGCCGCAGGCCCCGGAAGTCCGAGCCTTACCTTTCGCCTCGCACAGTGGACCGGATCCAGTCCACCGGCCAGTCAACCCCGCACTTCTCCAGGCGCCGTAGGGGCGGGCCCGGCGCCGCACCCTCGCCATGGCAACGCTACACTTCCGGCTCGCGCAGCCCACAGCCGGAAGCGGAGGTGCCGCGTGCGAGCCGGGGGCGGGGCCTGCCGGGAGCTTGTGGTGGAGTTCTGACGAGCGCAGCCGCAGGGGGCTCTGTGGCAGGGGCATCCTCGGAGTGGACGTGCTTGGGGTGGGGGTGGGGGGGGGGGGGGGCGGGGAGGGCAAGTAGTCAAAAAGCTCCCCCAGGAGGGTGGCCGTCTGTTTAGGCTGGGATTTTTATTTTTATTTATTGATTTTAGGGGGGAAAAAACATCGATTTGTTGCTCCACACACTTATGCATTTATAGTTTGTCTGCCCTGACCGGGATCAATCTAGGGAGGGATCCAACCTGCAACCTATGGGGACAACGCTCTAACCAACTGAGCTACCCGGGCAGGGGTAGGCTGGACTTTTAAAGAAAGGCAGAGGTTCGGCTGACAAAGAGCCTTCCCGCGCAGAGTGAACACGTTGTGCACAGGCGCAAGGGCCCAGGCACTAGGGCCACGGGAAGCAGTGGGATGAGGTTTAGGAGCGGGGTGTGGTCAGGACAAACGCTGGAAGAAGGGAGGACTATTGGAGGAGAGCGGGTGACTTAAAACGGGGAGGAGCCCTGACTGGTGTGGCCCCGTAAGTTGAGCGTGTCCTCCAAACCAAAAGGGCCTGGTTCCATTCCCAGTCAGGGCACAGGCCTGGGCTGTGGGCCAGGCTCCCGGCTGGGGGCAGACTAGAGGCTACCAATTGATGTTTCTCTCACACATTAAGTTTCTCTCCCCCTTTCTCGCTCTCTTTCTAAGTAATAAATAAATAAAATCTTAAAAAAAAAAAAGACATGGACAAGAAAAAGACTTATTTGCAACAGAATGAGGCTAGGAGGCCATAGGTACTGATCGCCTGGTGAGACACAAGAGACCCTCAACTAGACCCCTGGGAACAGAAAATAGTTGGGAAAATGGGAGTTCAGAGGAAGCCAGATGAAGCATGAAGGGAGAGCCTGAGGGAGTGGGAGCAGCGCGGTGCCCCACATGCACCATCCCTCTCAGCCCAGGCTTCCTCCTGCAGTGCACCCGCCACTCAGCCCTTCCCTTGGTTCCTTCCAGTGAGCTGTGCACAACTGTATGCTGCAGATTTTCAACAATTCAAGGAAATCACAGTAGGGTCTACACAAGAAAAGCTGAATTCTCGGGGTAAACTAATATAAAGTGTGTCTCAGCTCCTGTGGCCTCCCTGGAGCTTGGGGGCCCTGGTACCAACACCAGCTACCACTGCCTGTAATGTCCCCGGGGGAAAAACTTGCCTGGTGTGTGTGTGGGGGGGGGGGGGCAAACCTGGGCTTTGAGGCAGAGCACAGAGCACAGGCCTTGACTGACGAGAGGCAGAGCAACAGCTCAGATAGCCAAGGAAGACAAGGTGAGGGGACAGAAGAGGGTCTCCGAGTTAGGACTGGTGAGTCTCTGGGTAGCTGCAGGAGGCATTTTGATAGGACCATACCTTTGGGTCAGGTCCTATCCCTGCAAAGCCCTCAGAGGGGGTGCCAGGCCCTTGTGAGGGTTGTTGTGGGCTCCCCAGCCTGAGCCTTCACTGCCTCTCCTAGGAATGCCTCCTCCACTCAGGCCTGCCCAACCAGCCTGGAGAGCATCTCCCTCCTTCTTAGGCCATCAATTTTCAACCAGTGTGCTTCAAAAATGTTTAAAGCATGTAATATCTGACTACTTAGTCAGGGGCACCGACCTCTTACTAAATACATGTTTTGGTGTGTTGCAAAATTTTAGTAATTAGTTTAAGTGTGCCATAATATGAAAATCACTGCTCTAAACCAAGCTGCAGGGCCTTGTGGCTGCTTAGGAAGCCTTTCCTGGGCACCCACACACCACATACCTGTATTCACTCTGACCCAGGATGAAGCCAGGTGGTCCTCGAAGACTCTCCTGGACAGGGACTATGACCCAAAGAGCTGTATCCTTAAGATCTGTCCTGAGAAGTGGCCGGTAAACCTCTACACATAGGAGATTTCTCCCTCCGAGCACACCGGCCAGGAGCACTGCCCAAGTGCCCCCAAGGAATGAGAGGCAGCCTGCCCAGCGGCAGCCCCCAGAGCACCTGAACCCAAAGGACAAGAAGAGAAGCAAGGCAAACCTGGCTCCAAGAGGTCCTCCGTGCCCAGGCAGGCCTAGCTTGCTCAGGGCCAGTGAGATGCCCAGTTAAATAATGAGGGCAGCCAGCCCTCAAGGCCAGTGGCTAACAGGCACCGAGAGGGGAGGAATGTGGTCTCCAGGGTTCAAGGGGCCCACTGAGGTCCTGCAGCAGCCTCTGAGAAAAAATCCCTTGAATCAACTGTGTCCCTCTTTTTTCCTTAGGCTTCCTCCACGAAGACCCACCAGACCACCACTCAGGTCCTTCCGGGGGCTTGGCATTGAACTCTGGGCAGGCCCACCCCTTCTTGGCAGCTTGGCTAGGGCAAATCACTTCCCCATCTGTTAAATGGGAGCCTGAGACCCAGCCCAGACTGATAACCTATCCATGAGTCCTGGGCCCCTTCCAGGGGCTTTTCCTTCTGTTTGCAGAGGTTGCCAAAGGCAGTCCAGGCGTACGAAATGAGGCCTGGGTGGCCACAGGCAACCCCCACTGGAATCTTCTCTGCCCCTCCCTTCCAGATTAACTGAAACTTGCTAATTGCGGCGGCCCTCTGCCTGCTCCCCTCCCCCACTGCCTATTCCACCCTCCCTTTGCCTCCTCTCCCCTCCCCTCCCCCTTCCATCCGAATGATAAAGGGCCGCCTGCTTGCCCCCGCCCGGCCTTAGGCCCTGCCCTGCCTCACCTCCGTGCCCCATTGCCCTGCGACCTCCTACCGGCCAGGCCCAAGCCCGCGTTGCCGACCTCCTCTTCATGGGGCCCTGCAGCAACCCACGCCTGGGGCTCCCGGGGGTACAGTCGCCCTCCCAGCCCCCTAAGAGGAGGAAGAAGAGATACCTGCGGCATGACAAGCCCCCCTACACCTACTTGGCCATGATCGCCCTGGTGATCCAGGCCGCACCTTCCCGCAGGCTGAAGCTGGCCCAGGTGAGAGGGTTCCCGCTCTCCCTCACATTCTGTGGTCCGACTTTTTTTCCCAGATCTGACCCCGCACCTACTCCCAGGCTTAGGCTTCGGCCTCCAAGCCCACCGTGCCCCACGCAGCTATGGCCAGTGGGGCTAGTCCCCGTCTGGGCCCTGGGGAGGAGAGCTGAGGTGTTCAGAAGAACCCCTCCCATGAGGTGCCCTCTCCTCCCGCCGGCGCGCAGGTGTTGGGGACCGCGCGCCCGCGCCCCTGCGCCCGGCTGTGGGGGAGGGGCGGCGCTGCCCTGTCCGCTCCCCGGCTTACAGTGCTTGCTGAAACCGCTCCCGCGGTTTCAGATCATCCGTCAGGTTCAGGCCGTGTTCCCCTTCTTCAGGGACGACTACGAGGGCTGGAAGGACTCCATCCGCCACAACCTCTCCTCCAACCGATGCTTCCGCAAGGTGTGGGGCAAAGCGAGGGTCCGAGTGCCAGCCGGGGCGGAGGCAGGGCGGGGGCGGAAATCTTGAGTATCTGGGGTCGGGTAGCGCTACCAAGCCTGACACCTACATACACACCAGGTGCCCAAGGATCCTACGAAACCCAAGGCCAAGGGCAACTTCTGGGCTGTCGACGTGAGCCTGATCCCGGCCGAAGCGCTGCGGCTGCAGAACACAGCCCTGTGCCGGCGCTGGCAGAGCAGGGGCACACGGGGGGCCTTCGCCAAGGACCTGGGCCCCTACGTACTTCATGGCCGACCCTACCGACCACCCAAGCCGTCCAGTCCGCCCACTCCCCAGCTGCCACCCAGCGAGGGCTTCAGCATAAAGTCTCTGCTGGGGGACCCCGGGAAGGGAGCGCCACGGAGCAGCCCAGGTCCCGCAGGCTCCCTTCCAAGTAAGCAGGAAGTGGTGCCCACACCACCCCTGCCCTCTGAGAGGCCTCCGTGGCCCCTCTGCGCCCTCCCCGGGACCATGAGGGTGGAAGGGGAGCCTTCCCATGGAGGAACAAGCCAGCCCTCGCCCCTGTCCCCTGAGCCCAGAGGCTGGCCTCTCCACTTATTGCAGGGTACCCCTGACCCTGGGGGACTGTCGGGTGGGAATCACGGGACCTCACTTTGGGGGCAGCTGCCCACCTCCTACTTGCCCATCTACACCCCCAATGTGGTAATGCCCTTGGCCTCACTACCACCTACCTCCTGCCCCCAGTGCCCACCCTCCACCAGTCCAGCCTACTGGGGGGTGGCCCCTGAAACACATGCCCCCCCAGGGCTGCTCTGGGATCTAGATGCCCTCTTCCAGGGGGTGCCACCCAACAAGAGCATCTACGATGTGTGGGTTAGCCACCCCCGGGAACTGGCTGCCCCCACTCCAGGCTGGCTACTCTCCTGGTACAGCCTGTGAGGCTCCAGGGCTGGGGCTGCTTTTCTCTCCCAGCCCCACCCCCTGCTGCCTCTGACTTGTTGAGGGGGAACCAAGGCCAAGAGGACCAAGTGTGGCCACAGTTGCCTTGAAACACCAGGCCCCAGCCATGCTGAGAGTCACAATGTTTATTGGACGACCCACCAAGGGTCGTGTCCCCTTGGGCACCACCCTGATGGCCAGACAGCCCCCTCCTACCCCCAGAAGCAAGGCTGGGGGAATGGAGCTGCTTGGAGTAGCCTTTCCTGTCCCCTTCCTGGTCCCACCTCTTCTGGCCCTCTGTCCATCCGTCCATCTATCCATCACCATTTGTCACCTCCCATCTCCTGGCTCCAGGGGTGGGGGAGGGAGAACTTAATGGCGCCTCCAGCCTGAAGTCCTGTCCTCCCGCAACTGTCGGGAAGTTGGTAGCACCTTTTTCTGGAAAGGGCAGAGGGAGCAGGGCCCTCCCTGGGTTTGGTGGCGCAGTGGGGAAGGTAACAGTAAAGGAATGGACCACATTTTAATGCCAAGTCTGATTTTTGCTGGCGGGGTGGTGACATCGTGACTCAGACCAGTAGGCCAGAACAGGCTGCTCTGGGGTCCCCTGCTGTGCTGGCAGCGATAGCAGCAAATGGTGATAAGGAAGGAGCAGGGCCTGGGCCCGGGGGCGGGCATTTGTCATCTCCCCCCCCCCCCAGCCCCCACGGGGAACACTGCTCACTGGGAGGGGCTGAGGGGACAACTCTGGGAGTTTAGGGGGCAGGGGCTTTGCTCACTCTGCCGGCAGAGGCGCAACCCCAAACTAAAAGAGCAAGTTCCCTGGGGGCGCCCGAGCCGAGCTGGAGCCACTGTCTGGGCTTGGGCTTGGAGGGCTGCCCGGGGACGGTGTTGGGGTGCAGGGAGTCCCAGTGAATGGTGTGTCGGTACTGAGGGAGGAAGGCGTCCCAGAGCGCGGGGCCCTGCGGCGCCGAGCTGGCCCCAGCTCCACTTGGCCCACTCTCTCAGCGAACTTGAGCGAGCACACAGTCTCGCCGAGGTCCTCGGGCCGCGTGGAGATCTGCCGGGGAGCAGCGCTGGTGAGCAGCCCCTAGTGGGCGGCGCCTGCATGCAAACCTCTCTCCCCCACCCTGCGCCTGCCCCACGCCTGCGCCGGGTGCCCACCTGCAGCAGCAGCACCACTGTGGCGCCGGAGCCGAGCGCGGGCTGAAGTAGGCGCGTGAGCTGCGAGTCGCGGAAGGGCACGTGTGGCCGGCGGGCCCGCAGCGCAGCCATCACGCCTCCCAGTGCTAGCAGCGAGCGGTTGATGGTTCGGGCCTCCCGCATACGCTGGGCGTCCTCAGGGTCTCTCCGCGCCCTGCAGGCGGCCCCCGCCTTCCAGGCACGCTCGGATCCCGCCAGGTCCACCAGGTGCAGTGTGCCTGCAGGAGCGAGCGAGCCTACGTGGAGGGAACTCCAATCTCCCGTGCGGTGAGGCCCCTGGCAGGGCAGGGCGCCGGCCGGCGCGGTACCTGCGGCGCCTGAACCGCGTGTTGGGGGCGCTGCTCGCAGCGTCAGCGTAACCAGGGCGTGCGAGCGGGAGCTGTGCTGGTTCATGGTGGTGGCGGCGGTGGCCCGGTTGCTCCTCCCCAGGCTCAGCATCTGGAGGATGCAGGACAAGGCTTGGCCTGCTGTGGGGACCACACCTTCAGGTGTGAGCACAGGGCAGGGCCTTGGAGGGTCGCGCGCCCCCTGGGTAGCCTTACCTGGTTCAGTGTCTCTAGGTTGGGGACGTCCCAGTACGTGAGACCTGCCACTTGGAGGCCCCCTTGGCCTGGGGGGCCCTGCCTCACAACCAAGCGCTGGGGAGGCCCTGGGGCCAGAAGGTCCCTGGTGAGAAAAGTAACGGCTTAGTTTTGGGTTCTTGGCTTGGGGGGGGGGGGATAGTGGGAGGTAGCCAGGGCGCAGCCCTGACCTGACAGCCTCGTTGTAGATCTCCACCATGCTGAGGGTCACACAGTGCCGCCCTCCTGTCCTCATCTCCCGGAACAGGGACTGCAGCGCCCTAGGAGCTATGCCAGGGTCCTCAGGTGGGCCCTGGAGACGGGTGGAGTACCACGTCTGGCTCACGCCCCAGCATCTGGCCCCAGGAGCCACCCAGAGTTCCCCCCTCCCTTCTCACCTCCATGCTGTAGGTCTTCCCAGTCCCCGTCTGACCATAGGTGAGAATGCAGACACTGTAGCCTCGGAGGCAGGACAGCACAGTGGGCTCCAGCTCCCTGAAGACCTAGGGGAGTGGGGGAGCGCCTTGAGCCCCTAGCCTGGGGAAAGATGTGAGTAAGGCTCGATTCCCCCCGGGGTGGCCGGGGTGGGGGTGGGGCGGTCCACAAGAAGGGTGGGTCTCCTGGCAGGCAGAACAGGCTCCCTGGAGAAGTGGTCATTTGCAAGAATTGTCTAGGCAAAGGAAGGGCCGAGACAGTGTGCAGAGTATTGGAGTCCTGGCTACCACTTAGGAGGCCAAGGGGATTAGCAGTCAAGAGTCCGGACACTGGGCTCACTGCCCAGTTCAAATCCGAGGTGCACGATGGCCAAGGTTCCCCCACCCAGGAGATGGGGACTGTAGTGCACCTGTTGTGGGGGTTAGGGGGGCATATGTGCCCAGAGGGTGACACTGGTGCTTGGCACACAATGGGTGACTCCAGAAAGGGCCCCGTAGGTGGGGTGTGGAGGATGGTGGCCAGCCAGGACTGCTGGGACCTGGGCGCAGGGAGGGTGTGGGAGGCAGTGGTGGGGTAGATGGGGCTGGGGTTTGTGTTCCGTTGCTGCACCACCGACCACAGCCTTGTGAGCTGTGACATGGCCCCATCTCAGACACAGGAGGCTGGTAGTAGAATGAACTGTTGGTTCTACTGGAGGTGTTGCTGCCGGCCATGGGGGCAGAATCCAGAACTGCAGTTGGGTCCCTAAAATTCCATGACTAGAAGGAAGCCTTGGGGGTGACAGTGGTGCCCTTGCAGAACAGTGACGGATGCCGTCCCTTCTTTCATTCAGTTACTTCTTTTGGAGGGCCCTACTAGTACCAGGGGCCCATGCAGGGCTGCACGGTGGGACTGAGGCCTTGGGAGTGTGTTGGATAGAGAGTTAGGTGAGAAACAGCTGTGGGACCCCAGAAAGTGGGGGAAGGGAGACCTGGCCACTTTTTGAGGCCAACAGGGGTCCATTTCCTGCGCTGTGGAAGCTCTACCAGCAAAAATTTGCGTGTAACAGATGATGTGTGTGAAGCAAGGTGTTGGTGGGCTGGATTACGCCCCCACTTTCCCACGGGGTCCAGCAGGAAAGGAGGACAGCACCAGCACAGGGCAGCAGAGAGTGCCGAGGCGGAGGCTGTAGGCTGGCCTGCTTGCCCGGTCCCTGCTCTGCACCCTTGGTCACAAAACAAGGAAAAGTGTCCTCACAGTGGCCAGACTCTGGGCCCCGCAGCCAGTGACACCTGGGGGACGGTCCCAGCACTGTCCCACCGCAGCAGCATCAAGCTGTGCTCCACAGCCAGCTCTGTGTGAACAGTGCTTATCACCTCACACAGGTTCATGTTCCTTAGTTTCCTGGTAAAAAAGTATTTTTGAAAATGTTAACTTTCCGTCTAAACCAGATTCTTCCCTTGGACCTGCAGAGCTTGGAGAGAGGGGGTGGACACAGAGGGAACACCCTGGAAGGAACAGCAGTACCCAGCTTGGCTGCCAGTCCTGCATCCACTTCCTTCCCCTTCCCTGCTAAAATTAAGCCACTCTTGCTCCTGGGAGGGCAAAAAGGCAGGGATGGGGACCAGAGCCCCTGGGGACTCCTGGGACCTCTGAGGGAAGCCAACACGGGTGCAAGGGTGGGGCTTCACCTCTTCCTGGCTGGCGTCTGGAGGGAACACCCAGTCCAGGCGGAATCGACGTTGGTGCCCTCGATAGCAGGTGGTGACCGTGCCACCTGGGCCGGGCTCTGAGCTCACCAGGCTGGAGGGTGTCCCTGGCCGCAGCCGACACAGCACGCGGATATTTCCTAGGGTGGAGATCAGGTCACTGGGCTGCCTCCCGAGCCCTGAGGCATGGAGAGGTTCCAGTTGCTTCAGTCTGCCGGCCCCACTCCTCCACTCCCCAAGTGGCCATACCCTTGAGCTCCAGTAGCCGCCCTGGGCATCCAGTTGGGGGCCCCAGCTGCTCTTCAGGGAGCTGAGTCCCAGCCCCGCTGTCTGACAGTGCCCCTAGGGCCCAGGATACCTGGAGGAACAAAGATATGAGCAAGCCAGTCAACAGGGGCAGCCAAGTAGCTGGGGTGGGGTGCTAAGGGCAATATGGAGCCGTTCATTGTGTGGCCACCAGCTGTGGTAATCCACAACTTTCAGGGGCTTAGGGCGCCTAGGAGTATCATTCAGGGGGCCTGGGGTGGAGCCCACAATCAGGGGAACTGTGGGCAAGGACATCATCTGTTTCCTCTGGGCTTCTTGACAGACAATCCTGTCAGGGATTTACTGTCAACTTCATTTGTGCAGGACAAAAATGAGACCCAGAAGTGAGGTCACACCCTGGGTCACAGGAGCTGTCCTGGTTCTAGAACCTACAACCTCCATTAGAATAGGCAGCTCCCTAGGGGTGGGATGGAAGAAAGGGGTTCCCCAAAGGAAGAACAGTGACCAGGCTGACCAGGGAGCACCCACTGCAGAGGGAGCAGCTGGTCCTGACCTGGCCCCGGGCCTCGCTCAGTGAACCCTGACAGCTCTGGGTAAAGGTGCTGACCAGGCCTCGGAGGTCCCCACAGCCCTGACGGAGGCTGGCCATGCGTGCCCGAAGTCCTGGAGAGAGAAGATGCTTGTGAGAAAAAGCCTAGACCCCGTGGGCTTCCCAGGAGCCCCCTGCCCCAGGCCTTACCTGCCAGCTGCCCGTGCACCTGCCGCAGCTCCCTTCTGCAGCTCTGCTCCGTCTCCTGCTGGAGCTGCTGGAGAGCCCCCTGAAGGCCCTGTAGCTGCAGCTCCTGGACCCCCAGCTGCCCCACCCACCCCTGTCACTGAGGAAATAGGCACTCACCAGGCCCTGCCTCAGACATCCCCTTCCCAGTGTTCCGTCTTCCCAGCCCATGGGCCCAGTACCCACCTGGACTCGGAGAGCTTCTGTGGTGTCCTGGGCCTCCTGAAGCTGGCCCTGGAGCTCCACCAGTGCCTCTGCCTCCTCCTGCAGGAGGGGTGGGAACCATGTGAACTGTAGAACCAGGAGGAAACTTGGGAGGGGCATTCTAACACCCCCATTTCACGTGAGGGAAGTCAGGTCAAGAGAGCCAGTCATGAATCCACGCAGAGCTTTCCCCCAAGTCCCTTGTTCGCCTGGGGTCAGTCACTTGGAGGAGCCATGTGGATGGTGGAGGTTGTGAGGGGGTTGTTCTCCATGGGCATCAGCCTCCTTGATGGCCCCGGGCCTGTCCACAGCACTAGCCCTGGCCCTGGCAAGTCAGAGCCCCCTGCCTCTGTTCCGGAGCACCGGGCCCTGAGGGAGACTAGGTGTGCGGGAAAGCCAACTTGCAGAGGACAGCAGCAGCTAAGGAGAATACCTGGGGGGCCCTGGTGTGGGGGCCAGGACCCCAGTGCCTCAGAAGGTCCTGAGTGAGGATCAGGCTCTGTTTCAAGGCCTCGTTCTCCAGGGTCAGATGCTGAACCCTTTTCTCAGAATCTGTCGCCCCCTGGAGGAGAGGAAGTCATTTGGACTCACCCAAAAGCCCAGGCCCCTCTTCCCTCCCCTGCTTGTACACAGCTCACCACTCCCAGGTGCAGTTGGCCCAGCCCATCCTGCAGATCCAGCTGTTGCTTCAGCTCTTCCAGCTGGTATGGAGGAAGGGGGTCAGAGTGGCAAACCTCCTCCCAGCCTCCCCAATGCCCACCGCTTCCTAGGCCCCTCACCTGTCCAAGGATGAGCTGTTCCAGCCGCTGCCAAGCCCTCTGATCCTCCTCCAACTGCGGGGCCTGCTGCCCCTGGGCCTCACCACTCAGTGAAAAGGAAGGGCTTTCTTCTGGGGATGTGGGTCCTGGGGTGGGGCATACCCAGTTAGGACTAACAGGTTTCTACCCTGAAGGGGAAGCAACTTGGGAGCAGGGCTTAGGACCCTGCACTCCAGGTCACTCAGGTTCTGGTAGGCTTCACTCCATGCACACCCTCTCTTTTCAACTCACTGCTTCTTACGCACCAGTTGGAGTAGGGGGCTGCACCCCTGAGGCTGGCTGAGTCCCATGGGGCAGGGCCTGCCTCCCCCTGGGGCTCCGCATCCATGCCAGGAGGGCCAACAGCTGACCAGTTACAGTCAACAGTGGAGGGACATCACTAGGCTGTGAAGGAGAGAAGAATCAGAATGCAGGAGACTGAGGCGGGTCGGGGTGTGGAGGTCAGGACTGGGGAGAAAGGACAGGTTGGTTGCTGGAGAAAGACCCCTGGCCCTCTCACCCATCAGCCTGGCTCACCTTGCTCAGATCGGGAGGATAGCGGCAGCTCTCTTCCGCCCCCAGCTGGACTGAGAGGAACTCAGCAAGGCGCACGAGAGCCTCCTCCAGGGAGACCTCGGCCGGGCGGTCCTCGGCTCCTCTTCCTGGCCCATCTTCTGACTCCGAGCGGCCTGCCAGGCCAGCGAGAAGGGAAGTCGTGCTGGGTCACGTGGTGAAGGGTAGGCCACCAGAGGGCACCTGTCGGGTCTCGCTCCCAATGAGGTCACAGACACCTCCCCCTCTTTCGGACAGCTGGGTTCTCTTATGGCCCGGGGGACGCAGCGCTCGGGATGCACGATAGCACCTACCGACCAGGCCGGTCAGCTCGGACCAGAGTTCGGCAGGGGGCTGGTCAGGGCGGCGGCTACCCTCGGGTTTGCGGCTGGCACTCTAGGAAGGGAGCACGGGAAGCGCCTGAGGAGAGGCCTGCAGCCTCCCTCTGGGGCTGAGGTCTCTGAGGGCAACACCAGAGAAAACACCGGGATCCTCGGCACAGTCCACTTTGCAGCGCTGGCCCTGGAGACTTGCGCTGCGCCGGCCTGCACAACCCGCCCCCGCTCACCTGGTTGGGGTCCCTGGGGTCGGCGGTCGCCTTGGCCCCGCCATCCCTGCGGAAGAGGCTATAGAAGATGTAGATGAGCAACGAGTAGAAGGCGTACATGGGAGCGCGGGGCGGCTGAGGGCCCGGCTTCGCGCCGCCCCGCGTCCCAGCGCCCGGACTCCGAACCCGCTTGCTTGCCCGCAGCAGACCCGGTGCGCATGCTCGGGACGGCCGCCCCCGAGGCCCCGCTCCTGCGGGTGGAGGACGCGCGCCGGAGGAAAGAGGTGCAGAGACAGGTGTCCCCGGGCCCACACCAAGACACCTGCCCTGCGCCCCTATCCCTACTTCGCGGAGACCCCAGGCTGAGGTCACCCACGACCCCGCACCTCCTATTCACGGAATCCTTGCCAGAACCTCGAGCAGGCTTCCACTGCTCTCGCCCCTTAGAGTCATCATCCCACGGGTATCCTGCCTCCACACCCTTAGAGCCCCGCCCCCTTTCTCTTTAAGCCACACCCATCATCGTACGCCCTTCTCTCCTCGCACAGCCCCTCCCAGAAACCTGACCCAGACAACCCGCCCCGCCCCTCTCTGCACAGCCCCACCCACCATTTCCAGCCTTGGCCGGTTCCCTGGCCGCGCGCTCCTCCTCTTACAGCCCCGCTTCTCTCTTCCCTGCCCCTCCCTCAGACTCTTCCCCCTTCCCGCAGCCCCTCTTCAGACTCCTCCCCTCTCCATAGATCCCAGCAAATCACTGGGTAATAGCACCCTATTTTCGTACAGCCCCGCCCTCCCCTCTACTCGTTGGCTCATCCCTCTTCGCTCCAGCCCCTCCCCCCTGACGCTCTAGCCTGCGCTCTTCTCTTTGGTTCGAACCTCCACCGGCTGGGCGGCCGCGGGCGGGCGGAGCGGTGGGCCAGTTCCGGCCTCCTGCTTTCCGTTGCGTTAGGGTCGCTCCGGAGGGCCTCTGCTGTTGCACCTCAGGGGCTGCATTCCGAAGACGACGCCTTCCAGAGCGTAGGGACCAGGCCGAGTGGACCTGCGCACGTCCCGCGCCACTCTCCCCCAGGCCCGGCGCCCCCACTTGGATTCCAGGGCTCACTCACGCCTAGCACAGGCCTGCCTCTGTCTTCCCTTTTCTTTTCCCGGCCAAAATAAGTTTTTCTTCCCCACAGTTGTGTCCAGTGACCTCATAGCTACAGAAAGTTTCTGATGAGCCTATCCCAACATTCAGAAATGGGGCTCTGGAAACTGGGAGTCCTGGAGAGCCATCCTTAGCGCTCCGGGTCGCGGGCTCCTGCGTTCCTTCGTCCTCTCCAAAGTTGAGGAGCCCCTTCCTGTCTCCTCAAACTCACTACCGTCCTAGGTGCCATGGCACCCAAGCCGTGGGTTGAGTGGAGCATGGCCCTGTCCCACCTGGCACTGGGAGTGGTGTCTCTTCATGCAGCTTTGAGCACTGCCCAGGTGAGTACACAGGGGCCGGATAGGGGAGGATCCCATTCCCAAAACCCAGGGACCTATCTATCCAGTGCCTTGGACCAGGGAGGGTGGTGGGAGGTAAGTGTAGGGGTCAGGCTTCCATGAGACCCCTTAAACCTTTCCCTGTTTAGAGTAAGGTCCTGTTCTCTTTTTCCCACATCTCCCCTCCCTGTGTTGACAGGCAAGTCGAGGTGCTGCTGCTGGTTTCCTGCTCCAGGCGTTGGCTGCTGCCACCATGCTGGCCTCAGGGCAGGGCACAGATGAAGACTGTCTTACTGGAGCCTGGGTGGCCACTGTCATTGGCCTGCCCCTTCTGGCCTTCGATTTCCACTGGGTGAATGGGGACCGCTCCTCTGCAAACCTGCTCTTGGGAGGAGGCATGGTGCTGGCGGTGGCTGGTGACCACCTTGGCACAGAGGGCCGTTCTGTGGCTGGTCAGGCGGTGGTGCTCGTAGTGGCAGTAACCATTCTCATTGTGGCCGTTTTCACGACCAACACTTATGGAATGTGGGGGGGTTTGATGCTGGGTGCTGCAGGCCTCCTGAGTCGGCTAGAGCAGGACAGACTGCTGTTGCTGCCGAGGGAGGACATCTGTCGCTGGGTCCTGGCTGCAGGGAACTGGGCCTACCATCGGGCCTTGCACACACAGCGCCTGCAGTGGGAGTGACATTTGGAGACTGCAAGGCAGGTGACTGGGTTACCACTTCCCCTCCTGAAGCCTCCTTCCCTAGAGATAGATCTCCTTTTTCCCAAAGTGGGCTTGCTGCAGGATGACTGGTCAGGGGTAGAGTCTGGGCACTGTCCTTCCTCTGGTGGAGTATGGGGACCTGCCTAGACCAGAATGAAGGGGGTGGGGTTCAGGTACATTTTGAAGCCTGGTACTGGGCAGGCCATGGTTGTGGATCCAGATAGAGGCTTGGTCTCCAATAAACCTTAGGGATTAAGCAAGACTATGGGATCTGCCCATTCTTGAGAGGGATTGAGCTTTCTAAGGTTCCCAGGTCAGCAACTGGATTCCCTGAGCAAAGGGAAGGGATGTACTGGCAGCAGTCTGGGTCCTCACCCAGCCTGTTCTCCTGCTGGCCCCTGGACTAAGACGTAATCCTGGAAGCTTTTTCGTTTGGGACATGGTGGAGTTCTGAACACACTTGCACAGCCTAGCAAGAGGCCCTCTAGGCCCTTCACGGGCTGCTGGCTGGGGTGGGGACAAGGGAGGCTTATATCACCGCTGTTCTCGGAAACGAACGTGCCCTTCCAGGGCTGACTCGCCCTCTGCCTGTTTGTCTTCTAGCCTATGCAAGGCAAGTCCTGATTTTCTAGGACACTCACTTTAGCTTTAGCTCCTGGTGCATTTAATGCACCCCTCTTCAGCTACCTACCCCAGGGATAGGAAACAAGGTTGGGCAGAACAGTGAATTAGAGTCGGGGCCCTGAGTGCTTCCTCGGGGAGCCCCCCTGCTTGCGTACTGTGTAAGCACAGCTGGTACCACACAGGAGAGGGGTGGCCGCGGGGTTTCTCGCTCCCTTGAGCCCTGTGCACTCAATCTCGAGTGTGGAGAGACAAAGACTGGGGCACACCCCGACGTGAAGGCCCTCGGTTGCTCTTCGCGTCCTCGGGACCCGCGCTGTGGACCCACCGGAAGTACAGTACCAGTTCCCGGTGCCCCGGTTGCGCCCTCCGCGGCTGGTCCTGGGCCCCGCCCCCTGCCTGCCCACTTTCTGCAGCGGCTGGCCCTCACGCGTCAATTGGCTCTGTCCGTGCACCGTCTAGCCTTGAGCGGGGCTCCCATTGGCCCGAGAGTGTCCCGTGACCGGGGAGACCCAGGGGGGCGGTGGGGGTGGGGAAGAGCGCAGCGAAAACAAAGATGGCGGCCGCCCTGGGGTCGGTGGCCGCGGCTGCTGCGGGGTGGCGCGCGGACCAGACTCCCTGAGGCAGGGACAGAGGGAGTGGGGTTGCGGGGTCGCGGCGGCGGCGAGGGGGCGGCGGCGGCGCGCGGCGCCTCTAACCTCTAGCCGCGGGAGCGCGCCCGCACCCGCCCGCCGGGCCGGCCGGCAGCGATGTCCAGCGCGGAGGAGGCCGGCGGAGGAGGTCCGGCTACGGGGTCTGCCGGCGCCGTGCCCGCTGGGGCCGGGCCCGGGGCGGCCGCGGGGCCGCCGGCGGCGGCGGCGCTGGGCGAAGCGGCAGGGCCTGGGCTCCCAGACGAGGTGGGCCTGGCTGGCGCCCGGCAGCTACAGGAGGTAGCCGGCGACCCTGACGCACCGCCCAAGAAGCGGCTGCGGGCGGCCGAGGCAGCTGAGGTGGCGGCGGCGGGCAGCGGGAAGCTGGAGGAGCGGCTCTACTCGGTTCTGTGCTGCACCGTCTGCCTGGACTTGCCTAAGGCCTCCGTGTACCAGGTAGGGCCGCCGGCCCGATCCGGCCGGCGCCCCGGGCACCGCGTCCCCTTGGAGGCCAGGCCCGAGCCCCGGGGCCCAGCAGTCGGGACTCCGGCGTCTCTTCAGAAGCTCTTCATTCTTCTCCTCTCAGGATTTTATTTCCTGCTCCGAACCCCTTTCTGACTTGTTCTGACTCCCCTCATTTTACGGTCTGACTCTGCTATTTTCTGTCTAGATGGTGCTTCTCTTTTCAGCTCCTTGTTTCGCCTTCTCTGCACTGCCCGGCCCACCCTCCCAAGCTCTCGCCAGAGAAAGCTGGTGACAGATGCCCACGCCCCTCCCCCACTTCGGCGCTTGCTTCCCGCATTCTTGAGCTACCTCTTCACTCAAGGGCTCCTCTGTTCTTTCAGCTGCTGCCCCGTGCAGGGTGCTGGCTCCTAGTCCGCTTAGCACAGAACCTGTCCTTAGGCTCTCTCTGTAGTCCTCCTCCCTCATGAGTGGAAGAACCCTCTTGGCCTTCTTTCTTTCTGGAAGAACACTGAGAAGGGAGCGCCTCTTTTCCTTCCCCTCCTCCTCGCTTCCCCTCACTCCTGGACTGGGTGAACCACCCGCATCAGGGCCTACAGTCTGGGTCCCCCGGTCTGACCCCCGCGCCTTGTGGACATGCTGTGCCTCAGGGGAGGCTCCCCAGCCCGGCCTGCCTCACCCACACCAGGCCTGGCTTCCTAGGCTACCGGCGCTCCAGGTCTGTCCATCCCACCTTCAGTGTGGCTGTTGTCAGAGTCCTTAGGCAGTTCAGGGCCGTTCTCAAGGAGACCTGGTTCGGGTGGCTCTTAACCATGTGCCATGTAGCACATAGCAGCAGGGACCACACCCTGGCCGCAGAGTTTGTGTACGAGGTCCTGCCTTCTGTGTCCATATGTCTCTCTCTACCTCAATCCCCTCACTTCCCCACCCCCTCCCCTCCGAGTCCCTTTGAGGAATGAAACAGCTTTCTTGTCACTTCTCTTTGCACTACAGGTGTTGGGCTTAGCTGATAGGGCCTTATCCACCTGCTTCTCCTCAGCCTGGAGGCTGTGGGCAAGAGGGCCATTTTTGTAGTAAGCCACGCGGAGCTAATGTGGGTTGCCATTTCCCCAGCATCCGGATCTCCAGATCCTTGCTGCTGTGCTAGGAGGTTGCTTGGGCGGACCTTGGCCTGCCAGTGATGGGAAGAAAAGGCATTGGTGATGAAGTGGGTCCAGGTCTCTACCCAGCTTCCTGGACTTTGGGAAGCTCTGGCCAGAGGCGGTAGGTTGGGACTGCTGTGGGTCTTCTGGCCTAGGGCCAACTCGGGGAGTGAGTCTCAGCCTTGGGGGTGCTCCTCAGGACATGTCCTCTCTCTGGCCCCTTCTCCCTTGCCCAGGATCTTTTGATCCTCCCAGGTGGGAGAACTTCCTTGGGCCTCGAGTGAGAGCCCAGGAAGCCAAGCCAATGGGTGGAGTGCCCCAGGAGAATTTGAAGGTCTCTTCATCTCCCCTCCACTGAGTGGGTTGGAGCTGGACCTGGCATGATGATAGGCCACAGGGTGCTGGCTCCTGGTCCCCTTAGCACAGAAAGCTGCAGCTCTGCCTGTGGCCAGAGATGTTGGGGACCAGGTCTCTGAGCTCGGCTGGTTCCAGCTGGCCTGCACAGTGCTGTGAGCTGACATCTGTGATGCGGAGAGAAGGGGCCGAGGCGGCACTGACCAAGGCACTGACTGGGCTCTGCCTGCGGCTTCCCTGAGAACATGCTCGCAGAGCAAGGAGAGCCCACAGACGCTGGGCTCCGGCTCTGGCACTGGACCCCACGCAAAGCCCGTTCTTCCCAGTGACACTTGGCCTGGTTGGGGTGGTTTTCTTCTCACCACAAGAGGCCTGGAGAAAGTCCCAGCACACAGGATCAGTGGGAGAGCCCTTGGCTCTAGAGGGGCTCATGGGAGCCCTGCCCTGGTTAGAACTCACTGTGGCTGCCAGAGGGTCTGCTGTGGGAATGTGGGCTTGGAACAGGTCTGGTGCTGAAGCTGGAGTGGGAGGAGCCCAAGAGAGGGGTGGAAGAAGAAGGGAAGGCTTCTTGGTGGCCTGCTGCTGTGTGCAGCATCTCATTTCACCCTCACAGTGAGCCTGCATGGGGATATTGAGGGTGGGAGTCCAGATCGGCCTGGTCAGCACCAGTACTGGGTTTGCTCTTGGGAGGATCTGGGTGCCACATGCTGCCTTGAAACACTGGGTCCAGAGTCATTGCTGGCCACCATCTGTGGGCCAGGACTCAGCCTCTTCCCTCTGCTGTCCTTCCCTGGGGAGCTGTGTTGACTGGCCATTGGCAGTGAGCTAGTTTGGGCCACATTTGCCTGACCCCCTGTAGACCCATGGCTCAGGGCAGGCAGTAGCCAGGCTGTGCCTCTGAGGGCTGTCTCAGATGGTGTCCCTGTGTGCTGCACCTGGCACTGGGGCATAGGGACAACTCTGTGAGCCTCGCACTGGCTGGGTGCTTGGTCACGCAAGAGCTTGCACTCTGGCCATCAGACCCCACCCATCTCTGTTTTACTGGGGAAGCCTCGATGGCCACCAGAGCTCACCTTGGGCAGACATGGGTGGATCGGGTGGGGTTGTCCACCTGCTCTCGAGTCTGAGCCCTCGGCCCCACAGGGCTGGCTCTCCTGGCACATCACGCCACATGCTTGGGTCAGGAGACCTGCTTGGGCCTCAGACCACAGACAGCAGTGAGGCACACGGCTCTCTCGTCATGGACTGCGTCAGGTCAGGTCAAGGCCAGAGCAGGTACAGCAGGTGCTGGCTTTGATGTCCTCATTATGTGGGTGTTAGGTGTGTCCTTGGTGACTGGCCTGACAAGGTATGTGGCCACTTTCCATAGTTGCAGGCAGGCACCTGGCATGGGGGGTAGCAGGGCTGCAGGAGCTGCTCCTTGTGGCGGTGGATGATCGGAAACTCCAGTCAGCACTCGCTCTGGATGCAGCCGTGTGGTGACAGCCACAGGACCCTCTACCCAAAGAGCGCCTTCTCTGGACAAACAGCTTCGGAGGTGCCTGGAGTGTGGCAGCTGAGGCCTGATCCCTGACCTCCCTCCTGGGTCTCCCCCTGCCCTTCACACAAGGCCCAACTCATCCTCTGTCCGGTCCTGCTGAGTTCAGCTGAGGCCCTGAGCCTTGGGGTGGTGTCTGGACGGAGGGGCTGCACAGCTCTCCCTTCCTCACCAGCTCTCAGCCAGAGAAGCTCCCTGGGAACCTTTTTGGGGAAAAGGAGCCTCTGGGATGTGGCCCCAACTGACCCTCTGACCCCAGTGCTTCCGACTCCTGGCCTCAGACCTGGGCCTGTTCCTCCCTCCTGCACCCCCGTCTGCCTGGGTGTCCTTCCGGCTGATCCTCATGGGTCCTGCTGAGCAACACCCCCTGCTGGGACTGCCCCCTTCCTGCTATAGGAGGCCAGGGCACTTGCACCTGTCTGCACTGTGTGACAGTTGGGTATGTCCTCCCACCCCGAAGGCCTCCTGTCTTTGCCAGAACACAGCTCAGGTTCTGGCCCAAGGGGCCTGTTAGCTG